TGTTGATGAGGGAAAACAACACTGGCCAAGGTTTCGAGCGATGTTGAAGGGAAAACAACACATGCCAATGTTTTGAGCAATGTTGATGGATGGAAAACAACACAGGTCAAGGTTTCGAGAGACAGGTTGATGAATGGAAAACAACACAGGTCAAAGTTTCGAGCGTGAGGTAGATGAAGGGAAAACAACACTGGCCAAGTTTTCGAGCGATGTTGATGAATGGAAAACAACACAGGTCAAGGTTTCGAGTGATGTTGATGAAAGGAAAACAACACAGGTCAAGCTTTCGAGCGATGTTGATGAATGGAAAACAACACAGGCCAAGGTTTGGAGCAATGTTGATGAATGGAAAACAACACAGGCCAAGGTTTCGAGCGATGTTGATGAAGTGAAACAACACATGCCAATGTTTCGAGCGATGTTGATGAAGGGAAAACAACACAGGCCAAGGTTTCGAGCGATGTTGAAGGGAAAACAACACATGCCAATGTTTTGAGCAATGTTGATGGATGGAAAACAACACAGGTCAAGGTTTCGAGAGACAGGTTAATGAAAGGAAAACAACAGAGGCCAAAGTTTCGAGCGATGTTGATACAGTGAAACAACACAGGCCAAGGTTTCGAGCAATGTTGATGAAGGGAAAACAACACAGGCTAAGGTTTCGAGCGATGTTGATGAAGTGAAACAACACATGCCAAGGTTTCGAGCGATGTTGATGAAGGGAAAACAACACAGGCCAAGGTTTCGAGCGATGTTGATGAAGGGAAAACAACACAGGTCAAGGTTTCGAGCGATGTTGATGAAAGGAAAACAACACAGGCCAAGGTTTCTATAGACAGGTTGATGAAGGGAAAACAACACATGCCAAGGTTTCGAGCGATGTTGATGAATGGAAAACAACACAGGCCAAGGTTTCGAGCGTGAGGTTGATGAAGGGAAAACAACACTGGCCAAGGTTTCGAGCGATGTTGATGAAGGGAAAACAACACAGGCAAAGGTTTCAAGGGACGGGTTGATGAAGGGAAAACAACACAGGCCAAGGTTTCGAGCGATGTTGATGAAGGGAAAACAACACAGGCCAAGGTTTCGAGCGTGAGGTTGATGCAGGGAGAACACAGGTCAAGGTTCGAGCGTGATATAAATGCAAGGTTTCGAGAGACAGGTTGATCAATGGGTAAACAAATTGGCCAAGGGCTGGAAAGTTTTATAGGTTTTATCATGATTCATTATAGATAAAACTATCCATTTTCCGTGTTTGATAATGAATTGCATCATACAGCTGTTTCGTTCTTTAAGGACTCATCAATGATGCTAAGGGCATAAGTTTTGAAGCCTCGAAGGCGACTGAGGAAAATCCAAAGTGACCGAAAGAGAAGTCAAAATCTGAATGGGGAGATGCCCCCATACTTAAAAAAAAAAAAAAAAAGAAGATAACTTGTGTTTACATAAGTGTATACATTATGAAATGTTGTTCAGAAGTTTCCACGTACCTTTTGCATTTACATTCCTTGCATTTAGTTTAACTGTTTGTTTTAAAATATTATTTATGAAGAAAATTTATATTCGTCTTTGTGATGCATTTGGAATGAGCGTTTATTTTTCAGCCGAATTTGGTCGTTCAAAGAAAAGCGCTGAAGTTTTAACGGGATGACATGTTACAATCTAAACCTAAAATGAATGTTCTGTATTGTTCAATGGATCAAAATATATTGGTGAATGGAAACTGAACAAATATTTGTCAAGTCAAAAGTTCTAGGCGGCTAAAGTAGAGCAACCTGAACAAAGCGAGTTACAAGTCACAACGGTGAGTATTTTAACAACGAAAAGTCAAAGCAGGGAATTTAAAGAAACTTTTAAAACGGTCTGAATGTTTCTGACACATACGTGCCATACAGAGATTGTATAGGGTAAAGTCTGGCGATAAGGAATCTATACATTCAAACCTAACTACCGCATGAACTTCTGCCATATATCTCGGTCTACCAGCTGTTAGACAGAAAGGTAAAGTGCCGAAAACACCTAAATTTACTTATAAGATATATTACATCATTTGAAAAACATATTTCTAATTTTCGAATACATTGATTTATTTATAAATAACAATATTCATATTGAAGTTTTTACATGAAAATTAAGTGTTTGTTAGAAACATTTGTCGAAGATCTACATGTAATCTTAAAAATAAACAAAACATGACTCCGTTGCTTCTTTTAAACTCGATGATCGAGATCAAGAGCTATCAGTCTGCTATTTAGCAACTGCTATTCAATGTGACAGATATGAAGACGTGTATGGTATGCGTGTGTTTGATGCTAATGTTGGAGTTCGCTTTTGGTGCTACTACCACTACGATGCCTCCTGATAGTTCAGGTGAGAACAGCTACTAATAAACATGTATAATACTGATATGTAACCACAATGTATCCCTAACACCAAAACTGAGGCTGGATCTGACAAAAATCATAAAATGCCATTCCTGTCTTAATCCAATATTCTGACACATAAGTCATATGATCATTTCATGTCTTGTTGATAGGCTGTAGACATCTGTTATCCATCATGTAATTGTCATTCTCTGATTCCAACGAAGTTTGCCTTTCCTTTGAGCATCGTGATTCCAGATATAGTTAACTGCTTCGGATCACGTAGATCTGTAAAGGTGTTTTTATTTCTAGTTTCATCTGCTATGGTCTACGTAATGGAAATCAACTTTTGCTAGTTGTTGTGGTCCCTTCTCAACTCATACACAGTTTGATTTAAATGTAAAATATCGATCAGAGCTATAATTAGTTGTGAAATGGTCATAGATACACGAGTGTCTTTATGCAACATGTTTATCACTAGGCCCATATTGTAAACGAATATGTAAGTGAAGTGGCGTGGTACATTAAAATCAATTAAATTGATCTAAAAAGAGTTTTTGAAATTTGTTTTGCAAAGAAAAGTAGCACAATATTCTCTTCTACCCCGGTTAAAACGTATATTTATGTAATGAACCATTTTCTTGTATGAAAGAAATTATTATGTAATAGCATGAAATAAGCATATGGAAGACCTAAGATGAAAGTCGTTCTTATTCAGAGAGTGGAATAAACAGAGTAGATGTTGATATGAAAAAAAGAGTATATCCTTACTGTGAATTTTCCATTTCATCAACCCTGCATCCCCAACCTATGGTGTTTGCATGTCACAGTTGATTCGATATTCAAAGGCCTGTTTCAGGAGTCCGCGTGTAAATCTTTCTTTTGTTCAGATTTTGCATTGGAGTCTGAACTTGAGTCACTTAATAGTTCTTGCATTGTGTAAGTAAAAAAAATACTAATTACGCACTGTATTACTTATATTTATAATTAAAAACAAAGAACTTTGTATCTATGTACCTGTGAAAGTGTGAATGAAGCGTGAAGAGGGTGAGCGGAGACTTGTAATATTTATATCCGTTTTGGACAATCATATTTAAAAGGTTTGGATTATGAATATGATCGTGACCACGTTGGTATTTTCTTATTGTTTCTGAAGTGAGTATCGATTATGTTGATAAATTTTGGTTATTAACCATCAATACAAACATAACATGCTAGATTGTGCGTACACTGTATAACACCATTTATCCATCCTCCTCAATATTCGATAACTCACTTATTGATCAATTACTTACAGTTTTCCCTTTATATCTCACAGCGTGTTCCGAACCAAAGCTCCCTGGACCTTGTAAAGGATATTTTCCGCGTTACTATTTCGACAATACAGAAATGGATTGTTTGATGTTTGCCTATGGGGGATGTTACGGAAACAGAAATAATTTTCTGTCTCTGGAACACTGCGAACAGATATGTAAAAGTTAGATGTCAAATTAATCGAGGGCAATAAAGGATGTTTTGAAAAACGATGCGTTGATCAATATATTGTAATGCCTATCTAAAACATCAATTACTGTATCGTCTATTTGCTTATCCTTGTGATTAATTCAGTTTTTTCCAGCAGTAACTTTAAATTCAATGTCATCTCGATGTTAGTGACAGTAACGGTTAGAACTGGCGATGAAATAGTTATATGCTTTCAGCAGTGTACATTATAAGGACAATTTTAAGATACAGTGATAAGACGCAATACTGAAATGAGTACTTCAACGGGACAAGAAATGTTTTCTATTCCTGATACATTCGATAGAATACGTTTTAGATGTTTGTACTTTGACCCGACCTCCTTTTTGAGAACGTGACTTTACATTGTTGACCTAGATTAACACAAATGTCATCAATGAAGCAGAGGACGCTCTAATGTTCTTTATGTAAATCTATTGTTAATCAGGTTTATCATTTCTGTAAAAACAACAAGACAACGCCAACAGATAATAAATAAATATTAAGCATATTAAAAATATCGACATTCAAAATCAGAATCGATAAAATGAGAACAAAATGTAACCAAAGGAGACATTTGAAAAAGTACAAAGATAATAAACGAGTGTTCGGGAAGAATAGGCACCGTTTGCTTCATTGACGACATTAAATAATGTCACACTTTCAGATTTAGCCTCGAATGATATAGAGTACATCATTACAACGGTTTTCACCGATACATCACTATAATCTACATCAACAAACAGGTCTCCAAACACAGGCTTGAATGTGTTACTTAGCAGTCAATCTACCGCCCGGATCTGTCCCATTTCTGAGAAATAGATAAATGCTCCAGAAATATACGTTTTGGTGAATTTCCCCACTTCAGTGAATAAAAGAGTTCCAATAGGTTCCCTAATGATCCAAATGTATTACGTGAAATATATTGATATACCTTAATACTACACTACCAATTCTGACTGACACCCGTAAAACCTTAGCTGATATAGAATGCTAGACTCAACGGATGAACAGACAATTAAAAAAGTAACCACATTTAATCACAGGAATCCATTTATTATTTTTGCGTCATTTTATAAACAGTATATCATCCATGGATAAATCTGACTAAGCAAAAAGACAGTTCTGGAAGGCGATCTACCCTGTGATAGGTGAGACAAATCCACTAGTTGCCAGTGGTGGGTAGGCTATATCAGAGTGGGGACAGTCACTGTGATAATCGTTGCTTCCATTTGGCTCATAACAGTCGACAGGATTGAATTGTTTGTCTAAACAAATCTCCACCTCGTACAGCATCATTTTACCTGTTGTCTGATTTAGTATAAACATGATTAGTAAGTAGCATATAACTCCCAAACCTTTGCTGTTATAGGGCATGATCTTTGATACCAATAACTAGAAGTGATAATACAACAAATAACATTTCAGTCCACACCCAACTCCTTCTTTTATAAGAGAATTCAATTTCAGGATAAAAATTCTACATCACCCCTTTTTGAAAACTTCGTCATTACATACCTCGTCCTTGGTACACTCTACTTTGGCCCTGGCACCTAATTGGTGAGACAGTGCAGTCTCGATTTCCTCCAGCTAAACACAGTATAAGGAAGTTTAAAAAGAAATAACAGTTTCATAGATCTATATAAGAGGCAATTAATTAAAAAATCAAGAAAATGCCAACACGGCAACATAATCCAAACTCAAATTAAACAAAGCTGACAAGTATTGGAAAATTTAAACATATGAAAGCAGTGTCATGAATAATACAGTACACTATACGTGTTTTGTGATAACTACTGCCCCTTCAACACGTAAACACAGTGTATTTCGAAGAGGATACTTATTTCAGCATCTCACAGAGCACACTTTAGTACCCTCCTAAATACGTGCATCATAATAGTGCAAGGAAGGGCTCCTCGGTATGGTTAGCCAATTTGATAGTTATTCAACATCGGAAAACGAACTTTTGGCAAAGAATTATCAACACATGGAATCAGTTTCTGATGTTCAATGTTACGAAATCACGGTTTATGCAAGATATTTTATATGTAGTTGAAATTTCGTTTCTGCATTAGATATATAAAGTGTATGACGTTTGTCATTTTGTCGTTTCTCACAATACAGACGAAAACTATACCTACCGTGTATGTTCGTGATGTACTCGGAATTATGCCTTCGTTCGAAAATAGTCTGTAAATAGTCAAATAAAAATGTACATTGTATTAGGTATGAATAAGAAATATATAATGAACGACTGACCAGTTAAGCTTTGTTATATGTGTTGAATAATTAACTATTTTGATTAATTTGTAACCCCTTGTAAAATGTAAAATGTAAAATCATGAAATCCCTTAAAATATCATATATTCTCTAGCAACAAAACTGAATCTTTAGCGTGGTTCGAAAACGGACCTCACAGAAAATTACAATTCCTGCTCGCTTTTCGCTCTGTTTCCGACCGTTTGTCTAGTTTTTCATTAAAATAAATGTGGTCACTTCGACAGCTTTTGATCTATCTCGATCACACATAACGGTAATCGATTACTCGTAATTACCTAATTGCCTAATGCTTGTCTTAAGTTTGCCTTCTATGTAGGTATTTTCTTGTTTTAGATTATCTGTTTTGGGTTTAGAATAATCTCGCCACCATTTGCCTACTACGTAGGTTACATTGCCTGTTTGGGGTAGAGCATAATTTCGTCTGGTAACTCTGATATTCTAGAAAGTGAAAGAATACAGCCAACACAGGCATTATGAAGTTTACTTAAGCTTTTATCAAGCTTACTGATATTTAGCCTAATAGTTCAAATGTTTCTACAAATTCGTCTCACTGTGAAGCGCCATAGGTTCCAGCCAGGGCGAGTGCCTTTTTGAAGTACAGCATCTCACTACCAGTAGCAGGAAGAGTTGATGCACATGTCCCATGTTTTGTCCACTCGTGTTCCCTATTAAAATTTAAAAAGACAAAAAAATTCAAAGGTTGTAAAAGATCATGACAACGAACAAATATCGTCCGTTCAGCAAGTGTAGCTTTGATGGTCAGTTCATCACAATATCATTTATATTGATAACGACAGGTTCTGTATATACTTATTATAATCACATTTGCTATATAGCTGTGCTCACCAGAAACTCTCCATACTTGTGTCGGCGTACATGTTCGGCCACAGAACCTTCATCATTGGAACTAACGACTGAAGAGAAAAAACATCAAACCTTTAACGAGAAACTTAATGGTGACCGCCATATTGAAAGATACAGAGCGTTAAACATTAAACAATGAATCAATATATAATGTCAGTGATTTTAGTTTCAATCATAGTTTGTTATACATACCAACTACCGGTAATGTAAAAGTATTTTACCGAATTGCAGCTGTTGGCTTCAACAGATGATAGTTTCTGTAACGTATGATCCAGTAACCCGTGTCATCAATGTCAACATCGGTGAC